AGGGGTCCAGGGTTAGCGGTTTAGGGTTTCTGGGTTTCGAGCTTAGGGTTGATTTAGGGTTTAGGGTTTAGGGGTTTAGGGTTTAGGGTTTAGGGTTTAGGGGTTTAGGGTTTAGGGTTTAGGGCTGACTCTTAAAAAGCCATCCTCAAGTTCTGTCTTGAGGCGGTAGTGAAGGGGCTCGAATAGCAAACCCACAGCTTGCATCGACTGATGGGCATGGCAAGAGCAAGTCGTATCGTGCAGAATGAAGGTTCAACTCATGATGTACTCAGCCATGCACGTCACCACGGTTTTCCCGCGCTTCTTGGCAACTTTGAACTGCACCTGGCAATCGCAAGAAGCTTTGCGTGGCACTTCAGACAGCATCGTCTGCAACCGCGTCAGCTCGTATCTATGGCCACGTATGCGAAGACTCCCAAGATGCTTCGTGCCACTTGCAGACACAAAACTCATGGAGCTTCAGCGCAGGTAGTGGGACGGACATCGATGACAGTAAAACAGCACCGGCCCGAAGCGCTGAGTTGAGTCATCACATGCATGCACCCTCGAAGCCCTCGCCTTGTTAAGGTCGAGCTTCTTGTTGTGCCGCTTCCTCTTGCCACCCCTGTTCAGCTGTGGATGCAAGCGAATTCGTGAGTACTCGCTGCTTTCAATGATCTGAGTCTTGGTTAAGGTGGTTCGGAGACCAACCTGATATCACCGTGTACTGTGTCTTGCAATTAATACGTGGACCCGAAATTCAACACCAGCTGTTCTTCACACTTGCTGACTTTCTTCCGTGTTGGCGTGACTTCTTGACGTGTCCGATCTGGAAACACATTTCAGGAATTCTACTGCCCAGAACGGCTGCGATCCAAATCCCCCCAACAAGTTGGCAGTGACTGTAGGGCCCTACCAAAACGTCGCAACATTTCTGGTCAACCTCGTTTCACCGGCAAGGCTATCGTTTCTACATGGACGCTTCTGCACAGAGGCGGGGCAGGGCGAGCCTCATGGCGGTGGGGAGCGCCGAGTTCCAACCAGATATTCTGTCTATCTGCTTTCGCTTCCAGAATACGGCTTTGCGCCAACCCCAACAGAATGCTGCAAGTAATACTGTTACTATAGGGCTCGGAATAATGGGAGACGGGCTCCAAACTCAGATGGTCATCAACGGTAGGGCTCATACTCCAAGTTCTCGCAACCCTTTCCAGTGCTGATTTTGGCCACGACTTTACTGAGAACTCAAGCCTTGAGCCAAAGCTGAGAGCATAAATCCGTGGCTGACAACTTTGGCGAAGAACCAGAACCCTAGAAATAGGGCAGGGGAAGCTCGATCAGCAAAGGACATGAGAACGGGAAGCAAGGGCCATTGTGTGATCAGAGAATCGCGGTCATCAGGAATGCTCTTCATGCTTCCGAGATGAACGAACCATGGCACAAGGGAGTGCGACGCTCGCCAGGCTTAAGTTGAAGCGCCTGGTCCCACTGTGCTTCCTCCCACAGGTACTTCACCACGTCCACTGCGCGACGGGAACGAGGTGCCTGCCCATTGCGAGGTTTCGCTTGTAGGCCAGCTATAGGACATCGGATCCAAAGACTCCAAAGTCCGAAACACTTGAAACAGAGGTGGCTTCGAGAGTGCACCACAAGAGCAACAGACGATCTGCGGCAGCTTTAATGGCCTCCCCTCTCATGTGAACCATCAGCTGCAACAGACTGCTTTTGAGCCGTTCCACTCTGCAGAGGAGGAAGCCTCCAGGCCGTTCAGCGGCTGTGCGGGCTCCTTGAAGTCCTGTGGTCAAAGATAAACAGCGGAAAAAAAAAGGTCTGGGCTGAACACTTTTTTGGGCGATTATATGTAGGCAGTTTAGGAGTTAAGGCAAGCTTCTTTGGAGGATTGGGGCTTGTAGAGTTGAAGCAGTTCGTGAAATGGTTCTCTCCTCTTGGGGTGCATAGGCCCTCTGCACTGCGGTTTTCTTCTGGGTCCCAGTTTGAGCGGTTAGACACCTCACATTGACGACGAAGACTATGGGCGGCCAGGGGATGATAAGTCGACCGTGTCTTTGCCGCTGGGTTTGCATGGAGTCTGCCCGGTCGGATTTGCGAGGACTTGTAGGGTGACCTTGAGCTTGAAGGTACAAGAGCTCAGACGGCCTCAGGCTTCGGGACTCAAGGCTCTGAACCTCCGGACCCTCACGCGAAGGCACTGCAGCCCATGAGCCGTGACACAGACAGACGGAGAGATGCAGCCAATCCCGCGAAAGCTTCGGCCGTATGAAAGAGCCTTGAACACTGGACCCAGAACCAAGAAGAGCTTCAGCGATTCGAATGTTACAAAAGGCTTTGTTTTCAGATGTCTGCAGGAGCCGGGCCATGCAGACGGTATATGTTGCCATAGCAACTATTAGGACGGTAGACTACTTGGAGGTTCATGGACAGTCATACGTACGGTTGAGAGTTCTACGTCTCAGTATATGTTCACGTGGCCTCAGAGTGTTCAGGACACCGGTAATGATTACCCAACTCTCATCCATACTTACGACTGCACATGAGCCTCCGAGTATTTTTGATGTCGGGGTATGCAGGCTTGGTCCTGTACACTTTGTGCATGCCCGACAAACTCAACTTCCAATTTTCTCTACATCTCACTTGGGGTGAAACCGGGAACACTGTCATTTTGCGGAGGGGCAACCGCCCACCGATCCTTCGCAACGTGGTGTCGTAATTCTGGAGGTGAAACTGCAAATGAGCTCAAACCCGCAATCTGGATCTGCTCTGTATGGCTGCATCTCCACACGGATTCGATTAGGAGCCCATTGTGACCTTGGGTAGATCGAACTTGTGTCATTAATGGGTTTTGGTTGTTGGCTCGGAAAACTGCACAGGCTTAGATTTCATAGGCTTACAACCGTCAGCATATAGTCAGGAGAAGATGGGTCTAGGCGAGCCTTATTTGTCCCCGTTTGCTGCCAGGTCTCCGTAACTCCGACATTTTGAATCACGCAGGCAAAATGACCCACGTTCAGCTTCACCTCAATGCCAGGGGATATAATTTCTGTTGACGGAGCATTCTGCTTGGGGACCACAGTTTTTTGGTGCATTCGCAAACCTTAAGAACCGACGACTCACTTCGAAGGACACGACACGAGCCTTCCACCACCAACAGCGCGCTCGAATTCTCAAAAGAATCCACTGCGGAAGAGTGGCCGGCTTTGCAGAAAGCTGATTCGCTTGTGCGAGCCTCTTCCTGGCATCAGGAGGGATGCTTTCGAAATGAGAGTTGCTGGATACCCTTGGCCCCAAACATTGCAAACTCCTCTACGAGAAGATTGCAAAAGCAATTCTGCCACCGAGCACGACAGTCAGATGAAGACACGGACCGGCTTAGCAGTGCATTCCTCCGATAGGGAACTAGAGACACAGACATAGACCGCATGAGACGGCTGCAGCTGCTGCCCTCTCTTTGCATTCGGGGAAAGAACCATGGTTGCGACCAAACGGCCCGTAGTGGAACTCGGCAGTGGAGTCTGGCTCCATGGGCATGTAGCCAGAAGCGACCTTTCATGCCGGGTGCCAGTCCCGAAATCTTACGACCGGTGACTGTGTCGCTTCCTCGTACACGGCTGCAAGCCACGATGCAGGGCTCTTGCAGCCGAGATACTGTCTCGTACGACCACACCTTGAAAGTGGCGATGCTGTTCCTCGCTTTTCAGGGCAACATCGAACGCAAGCCACAAAACGGAGTCCCTAGGTAGAAGGTGAAGGCATGCTTGGTATGTTCCTATCAGCAGTCGGAGGAGATGCTATTGAAATAACTAATGACTAATGCGTGTTTGCTCAACTGGAGTCGCCAACTCGCCACCGCATAAGTCAGCATAAGGCTATCAAAACGTCACAAGCCACGATAAACATCACAGTTCATCAATGTAATTAGAAATTATTATAGAGCATGAACACAACAACGAACATGTACGCATGACACGCATCCATCGTTAGCAACATCGTAAAATATGTTAAATAGTGATGCTGAGAAGAACAGCTCCGAATGAACCTGCAAGGTTTTCGGAACAGAGTAAATCAAATCCGTGCCAAGCTTCTCCAGGTCGATTGCCATTTCGATCCAGTCACCCACCTGACAAAAGCCAGCTTTCCATGCCTCCACGAACCCATCCCCTACATCTAGGATTCCCGAAGACCTTGACTAATATCAGCCTGACCCGGCCACAACACCGCAATCCCAAGCTCTTGTGACCAACTCTTAACATTCTTAAAACTTTGTGCTCGGTGCCTGCAGCGCCCGCACGTGCTTCTTCGCTTTCAGGATGTCGCCGAAGACACGCATGCAGATTCGCCCGCGCTGATTCACGAAGACTGACACCTCGGGACTGGAGAGCTCTGGAGCTTGGGTTGAAAGGATATGAGGGGCAAGCAGGCTCACATAAGTTTAGAGGTGTGGGTCTTGTGGGCGGCTGCTCTGAGATCCAAGGCTCGATATTTTCCCGATTCAGTACGACTGATACCTGATATGTATGTCATTGATTATGTCAGTCCTTGACCCGGGTGAGTTCAAGGGAAGATCGGTGTACATTGACTGCTTCAGCCCAAATTCCAAAGCCGAAGCGTGACAATTCGCTTTCGCACGGGGGCCTGACTATTCAAGAACCTGCGAAACGCACGGCCTTGGACGGCAGCTTTTCCAGCCAGGGAGCGATCTTTTGAATGTTCTTTGCACACGGCACGCGTGATGCAAACCTCAAAATTGCAGCGGCAGCAGCTTAGATTGCGGGTTTCACGTATTCTCGGACTGAGGGCAGGCACAGAAAGCAACTCAGAATATGATTGTCACCTCGTATCAATGAACCTCTGCGAGGGAATCTCAACGACAAGTGTTTCAAAGCGCTCTGCTCTCACGCGACACCCTTCAACAGCACACACCCCTCCTCAAAACAACCCGAGGCCTCACCAAGCCCGGCTCTAAACAACGCGAACCCCAGGAATGCGCGTGCCCAAGCCAGGGAGCACGAATCCGACACCATCTGCTTTCGTGAGCTCCCCGTCTGAGAACTGCATCAAGTATTTCTGAACCTCGGTTCTGACAGCGTAAAGAGCTAGAAAGCTGGCTTAGGAGTTGGTTCAGCTGCTTTAGACACCGACAGCATCCGAAACTCGACAAGTTACACCTGATTCTGCTCGATTCCTCATCCAAACTTCCTTTCCCTGCACTCCTTATACCGAGATCTCCATTTCTCACCCCCAACCTAACAGCATGTACTTGAAGCCCCCAAAAAGCCCTAGGAAAGCTGTCAGATCCATGTGAGCTTGGGCACACCACCTCTCTGCACCTCAGACCCGGAGATCACGGACAATCTGCCCTCGTAATCCTCGGCTTTGGGGGACTGAGGGCTGTAGTGGCAAGTTCTGATTTCTGGGCTTCTAGGATTCTAGGATGCTGAAAGCCATTGGCAATTGGGGGGGGGGGGGGGGGCGGCACTGCTTGGCATGCCTGTTTCACGTTTTGGCTATAGCCATCTCAAACCACCTGGTTCCCTGAGGGTTCAGGGTGTAAGCTGCACAAAAATTGAGGCCTCAGGCCTTGAGTTGAACAGCCCACATAGACCCGGATGTGCTCAGGCTTATGAGTGGAGGAATTTGGGAGTGTGGGCTCGTAGCCCGTCAGAGCTCGAGGTGTAGCGGAGGAGCCCACGCGCATGGTTGACATGGGACGCCATGACAAACCCATACCAAAACAAGTGTTCAGCAGTAAGGCTATGTTACTGGGATCTTTCAAAGCGGCGGCATTCTCATTCTTGGGAAGCACCGACAGTCTCAAGACACTCCTCCATAACATAGCAGACTGTGAACTCCTAAAGTCTGCTTCAAGATATCTGCAGCTCAACGATGGCTATGACAGCTTCCTCCATCAAGCTGTACACTGAAACCTGTTGCATCCCTGCCCTTGGTACAGCTCACTTACCCTCTATAGCTTCTAAAATTGTGATTCTGGCATTTACCAGACACCGAAAAGCTCCTCAATCCTACCAAGCCCACTTCAAGTCATCTGCCCCGCTTACACCCGGCCATACGTCCGAGGCACCTGACCCTTCGTAAATTGCCGGAGATCAGGGCTGGCAAGGCCGAAACCCCGGACCTGCACACGTGCAGCATTGATGACAATCCAAACCATCATCATCAACGACAGCATCACCACCGCACTACCATCATCACGATGTATGACCACAGCCGTCTGCGTCAACGCCTTCCTGCCCATCATCATTTGTGTTCGCAGCAGCAGTGGCATGACGAGTGCTTAGCTGGAGTACTGCCGGAACACAAACTGACAAAATGGTGCGGGAGAGTTGAAGGCTTTCGGCAACGGCTTTCCAAGCTCTAAGCTGCCCAAAACTCACCACATCCGAAACCTAACCCACGTCCTCCAGAAATCAAAGCAATCCTCGGGCCTGGATATACCCACCTATACGCAGTTGTAGAACTACTCCACGAACCCAACCCTCCGAACCTCTTTGTGGAAGCTGTGCACGAGGCCGAAAGCCGGCCCGGTTGAAGGTGCCAGCGTCATCTGCAGGGTCTACCCGTTGCCATAACCCCAAGGGTCCAATAACCTAGCCCTAAGGGTCCAAAGGACCCCAATCATAAGGGGTTCTATAAGGGCTCCATAGGGGATCCAGAGGGATTTGTAGGGTTTCTGAAGAGGCTTTTATAAGGGTCCAAAAGGACCCAATAATCAGGTACTTAGGTTTCGGATAGTAGTTATGTAGGTTACTATTTGGGAGAGTACATGATTATTAGGTAGTTGGACCCTTAGGGTAACGGTTCAGGCTTTCAGGGTTTGGGGTTATCGGGTTTAGGGCTCAGGGTTTAAGGGTGATCACGGTTTTACCCCTGGGGCTTCAAGGACTGTTGCCAGGTTCCTTCGGGACTGGTGACATGGCAATGGTTCTGCCGGATCATACAGAGTTCTTATAATAGTACCCGGTATAACTAGTACCCCGTCATGGTGCCCTTGCTAATACCTTTTCAAAATACCTCACATCCTACCCCTTATGCTTCAAGCTAGATATTGGTGCCAAAGGCAATGCGTTCTGTTGGGATTCACAAAACGACCCGACGAAGAAACAACTCGCAGCTTCAACCCACTCGCAGAGCGCACCTGGCCAGAAGCATCGGGCCAACCTAAGGACTGCAGCTTACCCATAGGCCCCATAGTAGTTCTTTTCTGGGGTTCATATTTAGAATCCTATAAGGTAATCCCAAAAAGGAACTACTTTGGGGCCTATACGGAAGGGGTGCTGTTTAGGATTACGATTCAGGGGTCGCGCATCCTTAGAATGTCAGGATTTGGGCCGTGAGTATGAACTGAATGTTTGAGGAGTCCCTGATGTAGCCAACAAAATCCACGACAGTCTTGTTAATGTAAGGCCCTTAATAATTAGAATAGGGTTTGGGGGCCCATTATACTATAATTGTAGTAATGGAACCCCCAAAATAGTATAGGTACTTATTATAAGGCCTCTACATCACTTTCTTTAAGACGGACGGGCCCGCAAGTCTCCGAATCTCCCAAGTCTTGCGCGGCCCAGCTGCCAAAGGCAGCCGGCATCTGGTAGCCCTCCTGAGGCATGCCAACCTCAGCTTTGCATCCTTCCCTTGGTACCCGAAAGAGTCGAGGGCTTTGAGGGTTTAGGGTTTAGGGGTTTAGGGTTTAGGGTTTAGGGGTTTCATTACACCTTGGGCTTTCGGACTCACTGTGGCTGAAAGGCTTCGAGACAAAGCTTTGCGCAGGGGGTTTCTGTAGGCTGCGTTCCCGTACGCGGCGTTGAAAGAGTGGGCTTCATGGGGATGTGTGCAAGTCAGGTGGCCGAGGGATTTTGGGGAGTTGCGAGTAGGGTTCAGCCTTGGAGTGGCTTGGGGCAAATTAAACATTCTGGAGCCTTGTAAACTTATCATATAAGATCTATTAGGTATTATAACAATATTCGTATACTATATATATATATATATAACTATAAATATAATATACTGAATACTATATATGTGGGAGTTGGGAGTCTTTCGGGACTTGCTTTCGGTTGCCCGAAACCGATGCTCTGCGACTTCGAGTCGCTCTTGTGTCATGGGCGAACGTATAAATCTTCGGCATGGCTCAGAAGTTGAGGGTAACACTCACAATGAGATATTGCATGAAGTCATCTCAACCCAATCCGGGACAGAAGTGTTTCACGGACTCGAACTATGAGCACTCCGTCCAACCCGTACACACTAGACCCCTCTCCAATACTTCAGTCGAGACTCTGGGATCATTGGCATCATAGGAGGAACATCTGCGCCCGGCCTCAACAGTTCCGAGCCAGCGTGAGCTTACGGTCTTTGGGTATGGCTTGTAGCAGCCTTTCTGAGGCATGCAGGATTAGGCCTTCACGGTCTTGGGGCTCCGATTCCGGGGCGCAGGAGTCTAGGGCTTTGGCCTGATGGGTCTTGGGACGAACCTTGAAACACTCTCCACCCCATCACGAGCAACTGCTTAACTGTTGACCCCGAATCGAGCGATAACATCAAGATGAGATGCATGGGCAGCGACCCTGCGTAGCCGTGAGCTTGGACAGCAAAATGGTCCCAAGTCTCGAACCTCCGAGCAGCCAAGAAGATTCGACGAGGACTTTGCTAGCAATGGTGCGTAATTCTACATATGTCCTGCGAGGCATACAGCTTCAAGCAAAAGTTCAGGGGACGCTGGGCAGAAAGCTGTCGCTTGCGACAGATAAAGCGGACTGCAAGAATGACGGAAGCTCAGTTTACAAAAGCTGCACCGGATCGGACCAGAACTTTACGTTGGACACGACACGAACCACGCAGAAAGACCGCACTCGCTGGTTTTGTAATTGGAGGGGAAGATGATCTTTGCTACGGTGAAGCGTCATTGCCGTTGTTTCCCTTTTCTAAGGCGATGCATGCACTGGTATCCCGCTGTGAATATGATGGTGACCATGATGATGCAGATGAGAGACATGCATCAGTCGTGAAAACTCGCACCACCCACGGCTTCAAAATCGCCACTCCCGAGGCAGCAGCCTCTCCAGCTCCTTGTGCGTCCGCTCTGCACCTTATCTAGATATGCTAGGCTTGAATGCTGCCGGAGTTCTTGAGGGCTTTGTTTCTTATGGTCTGAAGGTTCATGCTTTCGGATCTTGCAACATACCTGCCAGCAAGAGGGCAAGTAGTGGGCAAAGGCTAGCCACAGAAAGGAAGACTTGTAGCTGTCGGTCTCAGGGCCGGACCAGACTCGTCCGAATCTGACCTCAAACATGTCAACTGCACGAAAACTCGGGTGCTGCAGAGCCAACAAACCCCATGGCTGCGAGCTTAACAAAATTCACATCCCTGCTCCAGGCAAGAATGTGTCTCTCACATGGGAGCAACACGAACTTGAGGGACTCCAAATGAGCTGTGCAGCACCTGATAGTATACTATAAATAATAGAAGCATACCACAATATTTACTAAGAATGCTCGGCTTGTTGTAGCCAAGCTGCTCGGCCGGTGCCTTAGCTGAACGAGCTCGACCCAACGAACTCTTTGAACCTAAGAGCACTGTTACCTATACCTTGATTGTTAGAATAGGTGTTAGGGTATGCTATACTGTAGGGATATGGCCCTTTTGCAGACATGACAGGAAGCCTGTTCCCAAAAGACAAGATGGGATACTTTGTTTTAGATATGTTGTGGCCTATATCGTCTTTGCCTTTCCACACGGGCCAGGAAGACATCCTTCTCAGTGGATAATTGGGCGTCTGTGGCAAGTAGAGTAGCATCATTAGTCACATCTCTAAAAACATCACACAGTTATGCTTGTCCTTCATCTTTGATCTTGGTCGGCCTCTTAATCACCACGATCATCAGCATGACCACCAATGCCAATATCTTTTTCCTCATCACGCTCATCAAGATTATGGTTGTTCCAGTACTGAGCATTCCTACTTTGCCACTGTGATGCCTCGGAAGAATCTTCCGGCACGGCCGGAACTCGGGGCGCTTGCCTCGAAGGCCAACGTGGCAAACGCACATTGCTGCCTGCACGTCGCAAGATCTAGGGCGGGGCGAAAGTTTACTTTGGGCCTGAAACTGTTTGCTGTAGCAAGACGATGTTGAAGTTAATTGCCCTCAAACCCGAACCAACATAACTGACAGCTGATGAGCGGCTCTTCCGGGATTCAAAGGCTGCCAGCAAGGGTCGCCAGACAAAGGCTAACAGTCAACTCCTACTATTGGTACTGCGACTTCAAACGCAGATCACTTCTTCTCCAGTACTGCTTCTCAGGCGTGCCTGAATGTTTGTGAAGCATGCCGGCATGTTGACGAAACCACAGCTGTTGTCTTAGAGACTCTTGTGGACTTGCGAAATGTAGACAGTTTCAGGAACCCAAAGTTATCACTTCCCACTAACACGGCGCCCCCGCCCAACAGAAACCCGAAATGTGTGTTTTATTTGTTGGGAGTTTTCTCGCTACTGTCATTTTGGGGATCTTGCTATTGCTCCTGCCCTTGCTCCTAAGCTCTTGCTCCTGAACCGCCTTAGTTCGAAAAAGGTTCTAACGGCGGAGATGAGTTCAGTGGTTGTTTCCGGAAAGTATTTGCATTACTATGGGAGACTTTAATCTGGAGTCGATGTTTACAAATACCACAAAATGGGGGCCCCGAAGGGACGCTTTCGTTGAGAAAACGGGGATGCGAGTACATGCATAAGGAATTTGATCTGGCCTTAGTTGCAGAGGGACTTACTCCTGAATTCCTGTTAGTAATATGCTGATGCTTATGTGGTCCCGCAATAGGCTCAAGTATCCGGCCTGAGGGGTCAGACTGCGTTCGCGTGGCCGCGAACTGATCGGACTCTGTCCGTCCCATCCCGGTGCCGACCTCTTCATCCACGTGGATGAAGGTGTTCCTCGGCAAGTATTACAGTGTCAAATTGTGGCTTGGAAGTTTGCAAAGGTATGTCTTCACAGCGGATAAACACCAGTAATTACAAAAGCGAACTGGCAAATGCAAAAAGATAAGTGGTTGAGAGGATTCCAGGGAGACCCTCGACATGACAGCCCAGGCGGTCAGGACGGAGGCTTTCGATGCGCCCCGGAGTTCAAGTCCTGAAGTAGTGTTGATTGGTTTCTCCCTGATTGACCTCGCTCCAGTTTTTGCCGAGCGGCTTTACTCGAAAGCCTGGATTGGCACGAAGGGCCTCCGCATCACATCAAGGATTCGGGGTCACTGCCTTCCAAGAGGCTTTCAAGACCTCATCGGTTTTCCTAGAGAGGAAGAAGTTGTAGGCGACATCCTTGCACAGGGTTTTCCTAGAGTCCTAGAGTATTCGGATACCAACTCTGTGCCCAGAATCTGAGTCCTCATGTTGTATTGAGCACCGACCACCCGAAGAGTCCCCAGAACCGTGGTCCAAAAGTCAAGACGCGAAAACCAAGCCTGCAGACTCCGGCTAAAGGACTTTGGGGCTGTAAGATCCCAAAACCACTGAGGAGCAAGCACTGTCATCGGCCGCTTCGCCAGATGCAGGTGCAGACCGGCCGTCTTTCACGGTGCTAGTTCTCTGGAGAACCTGGCTCGGGTTTGACTCGTAAGTAGTGGACGACTCTCCCACGTAGTTCGCAGTCGCTTCGAAGCACCACTAGCACCGCTTGCCAGATGACGCCAAAGATGTCTTGAGGCTCGGGCGAAAGAGTCGTCCTCCTCCTCTGAGTCTGAGGCATCGTGCCTTTGCTGTGGTGTGGGCAAGCCAACCAAACGCAGTTAACGCAACCTGTAAGAAACCAAACGCCCTATAGACCACCCTGATTGAGGTGCCAGGAATACTCAACTCTGGCGGGTCGCGGAGGTGTCGCCGCGGTCTGCCCGAGATCACCTCTCAGCTCTGTCTTAAACACAGCGATCCTCTGGATTCTTGTGGAACATGCTGGTTAAGGAACACAAAGGGACTACTCAACATGCCCCTAAAAGGATGCTCCCTCTGTGGATGTGTTTGACGTTCAAGGTCCTGGTCTCTGTCCGGCCTTGGACCGGCGTAACCATGCTGCCAAGCATGAGACAATGCAGCTTCAGAAGGATCAGCTGGAGCAACACGGCATTGGGCAGTCTCTTCCAGGTACACGGCCCGATTACAGAATCAAGGCTCGCGGCTTAAGACGTCCTTGGTGGAAGACACTCCTGGTAGCCTAAGGGTTTGGGGAAGCCAACGCCCAACGGAACAAATCTATGCCTGCATCGGGAGATGGTCGTTATTAACACTGAAGCCTTTATTCTACCTTCAAGGTAAAGGGTAGAGCTCAAGGCTAGGACACACTCCTCCTCCTGGCTCCTCCTCTGCCTTCCTCTGAACCCCAAATACGACGCACCACAACCCTACATCCTCAATTGCCTGAATCTGCTCCTCTATGTGCATCCCTGGGCGCAGCCCTGTCAAATCTGAACCGGGTGATGAAACTTCCCAAGTTTGAGGTAGGGATCTTCAGATTGTGTCAGATTCTTGAAAGTCAGGTCACACTGGCCCGTGAGTATGGAAGCCGGACCGGGGTGGATCGAGGGCTTTGCAACCTTACCTCTTCAGCTCAGGGGCACAAACAAAAACGTGTTTCCGGTATCTTCCAGCTGGCTTCCGCAAACATTAAGTCTATGTGAGCTCCACCGCTGGACTCCAATCTGCAAAACAACGCTGACAAATATTTCCACTGCACGCAGAGGGCTGAGAATTAGAACCTCTAGCTTGCTACAGAGATTCGGCTGTGCATGTTTAGTGAGACATGAGCTGCCTGTGCCAGATGCTGGAAGTACTTGGGGCAATATCAATCAACGCTTTTGAGAACCCGACTGCTACTCCGGATCGAAGTTCACAATCCATTCTGTTTATGCCTGTCCATATCTGCTGGGCAGCCAACAGTGCACTATGAAACACACAAGAATTCCTTCGCCAAGAGGAGCCGAGTTCGCAGCTTGGCTGGCGATTACTGCAACCCTCTCTCCGGCTGTTTGCATTTTCATGAGTGACTTTAGTCGTGACTGCGGAGCGTGGAGAAGTTTCGACACAGCTGTATATCCTAAGTGATGCAAACGTCACCACGCCACGCGCAATTACAAATGTGACATGACAGGTCCTGACAGGTCGTGCAAGGTTCGAGGAATTTGTATTGAGTTGGATCAGTCCTACCTTGCAGGCCTTTCACAACCTCTCAGGTCAAGTTCGGCTATCTTGCCTGCCAGCGAGGAGGATTCGCTGAGGCTTCCAACTCGCAGTCCGACATCTTATGTTCTGCGCCTATCCTTCGCATGCGCTAACGAGAATGACAGATGAAAACAATTTCTGGGTTCGACTAGAGGGTTTAGGGATTAGGGTTTAGGGTTTACTAGAGCAGGGCCCGTAAAGGGATCCTTGGGGTATATAGAGGCTTTATGGGACTATATAAGGGGCATATAAGGTTTATGTAGGCTATTTGGGTTAGGGGTCCCTTCTGGGGGTCCCTCCTATTGTCCCTTAGGTTTGAGGGTGTATCTAGGGTTTTGGGGATTGCGGGTCAAGCGACTGGCACCTAAGCACGATGAGGCATTCAGTGACAACAACGTAGGCCCCAAACAGTAGGACTCTTGCTGCAAAGGCTCCTGGAACCTTGAACCCAAGCCGCCTACGTCCTAAACGCCAAACCCAAAACCACCCACGCCTAAACCACATTGTGATCAACGCTTCAACACATCGGGAACATAATGACCGAAACCCTAAACCCTAAACCCTAAACCCTAAACCCGAAGCAGAATTGAAATGTCCAGCACCCCAATCCCGACGACCTCCCCCCAGGCCAGGCACTTTACATGCACAAAGACCCCTGGAGATCTAGCAGATCCATGAAGAAGGTGGATTCTATGGAGGGCTCCTTTTCATATATTCACGAGTGCATCTGTGGGATTTT